AAGATGATCTTTGACAACTCTTCCTCCCTTACATTCTGCAATTCTATTAAAAAGCTTTGATGTACTGACAAATTAAACATTCAGCAACTCTTAAAAATTATACCTTCAAAACAGTTCTTGTATTGTCCCTTTATTCTCCAAACTTAAATTGTATAAATTTAAAAAGCTTCCTTTCTTTTTATCACACCAACATTTTTAAAATTTAGACATAAATTCTAGTACCTGCTACATAAATAGCAGAAAATAATGGTGTCACAATGGACTGAAAGGTGAAAGAATAAGAAAACAATTTGTGGAATACTAAGTCTTCATGACATTCCTGAGTCCTCACTCATTTCCAAAGGGATATCTATGCAGCAGTGCACAGTCATGATCATCCACATTTTTATTTTATAAAAATTTAACAAATTTTGGCGATAATTTTTTCAAATTAATATTACACATTGACTACATTTCTGAAATATTAATAACCTGTTGCATGCTAAGTTTTTTAAACCCAAGCATACTCATTATTTTAGCCAACACCAAAACAACTGCTACACACACACATGGTTTTAAGAAAGAAAATCTTTTATGCACTGAATGGCACCAAACCTATTTCTAAACACAAAGGAAATTAAAATTAACATTAATCCAATCTTTATGTCTTTTTCTGAGTTAACAAAAAAACTTGATTAATTCAAATCGAATTGCTAATTAAGTACTACTTTGTAATGCATGTGATGATGCTTAGAAACACAATTATTAGCACAACAATTGCCAGCAGAGCAGAACTGAATTTGGACATGGGGGGAAATGACTGGGTGAAAAACCAGTTAAATTATGTTGTGTTTCTTGGTCCTTCATATAGCTATGATCCTCAAAAATACAAAATACAATCAACTCATAATCATCTAGATGTGGACCATGAAGGTTTATGTCACAGATGAAGGTCAGGAAACCGCATCAGGTATTTCAGGTTTGGTCAGGTTCTTTAGTTTAAATTTAGTCATTTGCATTTTGAAAACAGCCACACTGCTCTGTTTACTCTTTTCAGCCAACAAATAATTGAACAGCCTCTGCAGGAGAGATAGGCAGACTTCCTAGCATAGGCTGTAGCCAAGCTGCCTGCAAGAAGGATAATCAGAGTTTGTTTTCTAGCAGCATCAACCTAATCCAGTAGCACAACACCTTGATACCCACAGACCTGGGAGGGCCAGTGTTCACCTGCAGCTAAAAATCCTATCTAGATGGAAAATGCCTTGCTGTGGTCTATATGCCAGGCTCTCCAGCATGCTGGGTTAGGGAAAGACCAGTTCAAGTGTGAAAACAGGAAAATGCAGAGAGCAGCCTTGCTAATGGGCATTCTCATGGATTTGAACACGAGGATAAAGCACTCAGCTAAGGGCAATCTAAATGAACTAGCTCAGTCCAAGCACTGTTAATGAATTCTGACTCCCTATGAGCCCCAACTAACATGGCGTGGGGAGACACTCCATAGATAAGAAAAAAATGCAGGACCTACTTTTCCCATTATCTAAGCATCATCATCCCCATTGCTCTGACTAACTGGGAATTGATCTGAATACATGGATTTGCACATATTAATTTTAAAATGAAACGTGTATTCTAGGGACATCATTGATACAAAAATGAAAATAAGCTTAAATTCCCAAAGAACACAGAGAGGCATAGAGAAAGAATGTGACAGAATATACGTGCCTTATGCACAGATCAGAACTACAGAAACTGAGAAAAGGAAGTTGTTCTGACCATCCAGGTAGCCTACCACATCTGCCCATTTTTAATATATTCTCAGAGTAATAAAAGGTACAAATGGCTCATATTTTGTAACATATTCCTAGCTGATGGACTCCAATTATAAAACTTACACTTTCCTCTACCACATTCAAAAGACAGGACTGAACAGAATATTCATCATTCTATATTGTTTTAGGTATATGTATATTTTACATTAAAAATGTGGCAATGAGAGAAAAGGTTAAAACCTTTTAGGATATATACAGTAAATGAAACAATAATGGATGATGCCCATGAAACACATGTTTCCAAAGTAATAAAAGTGACTTATTTTTACCGCTCTCTAAACAGACAAAATACATTTTTCAAATCTATATATTTCAAAAAGCAATCAAATTATTGTTTGGCTATACACTCATCTCTTCAAAGGAAAATATTAGAAAGACAATTCATTAGTTAGATCAACTACTTTTTTGAGACTTATACTTACCTTGGAACAGAGAAAATTCAAATTTGCTACTAGTTTGTTTGGTGACCTTACACCTCTTCCAACCCAGAGGATGAAAATATAATATTGATCACCTTGAAATGAAAGATGCAACATGAATTATTAATGTTAATAAGAAAGAATTATTGTCATTATTCTTAATTCTTTGTGTCTTCTGTAGCATGTATTATGTCAGCAACCTTAATCTTTCAGAACCGAACACACGAACTCTATCAAACTCTGCCACCCCTGTATCTGTTTCTGCTCTAACATAAACAGTTTCTGCTCTAACATAAACAGTTTCTGTGGAAAACTAGGAAATATAGGAATTTGTGTGGGGAGCTGATGATGATTCTTTTTACTGGGATTATTATCAAGTATGGATTTTATGCTATGCTTACCACACAAGGTAATTAATTGTACTTCATCATTTACTGACCTGCCTTCCAACTGCCTATTTACAAACTCTATCAAACACCTGCCACCCCTGTATCTGTTTCTGTTCTAACATAAACAGTTTCTGTGGAAAACTAGGAAATATAGGAATTTGTGTGGGGAGCTGATGATGATTCTTTTTACTGGGATTATTATCAAGTATGGATTTTATGCTATGCTTACCACACAAGGTAATTAATTGTACTTCATCATTTACTGACCTGCCTTCCAACTGCCTATTTACCAGCTACCAAACTGTAGTTTTAAACTACCTATAAAACAAATTCCACTCTGGCTCCAAAGACCTCTGTTCTTCAGTTCCATATACAAGGACAGAGAGTACAGTCCTTATTTCAGAAACATTCACAATATAACACAACTGGGACGAAAAAGGAGGCCACAAGTACGTTTCAGTACAGAAAGTATATAAGATAGCTAGCGTCAACAAAACATTGAACTACATGGCAGAAACACCAAATTCTCTGGCACCATGGAAAAATGACAAATTACTTGGGTGTGGACTTGCTGGGGCCTTGACTAAGATGAATTAGGCTGTCTACATCTCACAGACTTTTTATTTCAGGAGCAGCTGCTTGAAATTCTTCCAAGCACTTTTAGTCAGAATATTGTCTTTTTTTTTTTTTTTTTTCAAAAGGCAAACTTTTCAGGAATAATTATTCTCTTTATTAGTAATCTTTCAACTTTATAAAGTTTTCCTAAATACCGGGAAGAAAGAAACAACGTGGCTCCTTCTGTTTCTAAGCCCTGTAACATGCCTCTGAAATTTGAAAGATCCTAGCCTGATTTATTCTTATTTACAAAAATTTGCAAAGTTAGGTCTCATTACTAAGCCATATTCCCCTCCATTTCTTCAGTGTTCTGGATCTTTGTCAGAATCTTTTGTTCTTTTAATATGCATAATAAAATATCAATTGGAACTAGAACTGCAGTGTTTCCTCCTTGACAAAACTAGCCACTATTGCTGAAAATACACAGGCAATTTTGTAGATAGGTGTATTTTCCAAGTATTTATACAAAATACAACTATTCTATGTAAAGCTATCCATTCTAGCATATCTCACAAATATCTGGGTAGGGCATTCTTTTCTCAAAGACACAATGACTCCAGCGAAATCCCAGATCTAGCATCTTTACATCTATAGCACATTTTTTTGCAAATTTCATCACAGTTGTGCAAGAGAATGACTATACCAAGATACAAAAGATAATGGCATACAACAAGCTTCCAGATCTGTAGGTTAAGAAAATTTAAATTAAAAACACATGGGAAAAGTTGCTTACAATGTTTTAAGTTACAAATCCTACTCTGTGTCTTTCTTTCAGACCAATACCTCTTACATTTTAAAAGGCAGTGATTTTTTACAGTTTGCTGGTAGGTTTTGGCATTCTTTTTACTGAAAAAAAATGGTGTAATATAAATAATGACCTTAGACTGATAGGTTTTCTAGAATATCTGGTCCCAAACATCCTAGTGTTCACCTTCCAAAAATAAGTAACTTGTATCAATAGTTAATATTTTTCCAGGAGTTTTTTGACCTTTTTCCTACGCAGAGGTTCTTTTTACAAGCTACTAAGCCCTGATAAAAGGAATCTAAGAGATGCAATATCTGAACAGACAAGAGTGGCTGTGTAAATTATAACTTTATACTGGAATTATCAGAACAATTTTCAAAGGGCAATTTTGCTACACAAAAACATTGCCCTTGTATTTTTAAATAAATTCTCTGAGATCATATATGATATGTAAACTACTGATGTTCTTCATGAAGAATGCTTAAAATACAGCCTGAAGCAAATGGAAGACCTGTAAGTATTCCTGCAGAACTGTATCAGAGAATTAGAAAACATGAACAAAAACCTTATCAGCATCACTGGTCTGTATTTTGCAATCTGTAATTAAAAATTTTATTCTTGTAGGTTTAATTTTCTAGGTGTCATTGTTTATGAATCATACACAAGATTATCAACTTGTTCCACCCTAATCAAGCGTACATTCTTCTATTCACAAACCACTCACAAGTGTGCCCTAATAATTAAATGTTATCAGATATCATGAAAACTGTAAGAACCTCCATAACAATGCCATTTTCCAACAGAGAATGACATTGGGTTTTAAGATACTGTCATTTTTCCTGCACAATAATGTCCAAAAAATTAATGAATACCTTGTTGTAAATAAATTTAAAAGCCTGCATGGAAAAATGTTACAGGAGGATGGGTCTTTTAATTTTGATTAATTTTCTGCTTTGCTGCACCTTATTTTCTCAGATATGGCAAACAACAATAAGAAAAAATAAAGCCTAATGCATGTACTTACTTGTGATAAAATGGAATATTGATGGCAATAAGTTACTGTATTTCAGTTAGCCTCCATGAAGTACTACTGGATTCATCTCCTCTCCCAATCCAGTTTCTTCTCCAGCTCATAGCCTGTTAGCTTCACGTCAGTCTCTGGGAAAATAATAGAGCAATTTTCTCTGGAAGTAATTTTCAAGCACAAAAACGACAAGAAGGTGACTGGGAACAGTGAGATGGATTAACCAAACAGCTGTTATACCTGACTAGGCTGATCGGTGTCCATGATGAGATTACTGTCTGAGGACAAGGAAAGAGAAATAAATGCTGGGGGTAGCCTTATTTTAGCAAGACTTCTGTTTAACACAATATCCCACAGTATCCAAAGGACTATAAGATAGGAAGATAATTGGTTGAACCTCCTGGCTCAAAGAGATGCCATCAGTAGTACAAAGTCCAGCTGGTGGCTGGAAGTAGCATCTTCCAAGGACTGATGTTGGGTCAGTACTATTTAATGTCTTTATCAATGACCTAGATCATGGGAGAGAGTGCATTCTCCAAAGGTTTGCGAACAATGAATTAATTGCAGGGATACATGGGCAGGGCAGTTGTCAGAGGGACCTGAACCACCTATTCTCAGATCTGATTGCTACCTGCATAATGGGAAGGCATGGCCAGATCCTTCTCAGGGGTACAAAGTGTTAGAGCAAGAGGCAAAAGACATAAGTTGAACCACAGGGAAGTCAGGATAGATCAAAAAATTGTTATTATTACTATTACATTTAATCACAAAGGTAGACAAACACTACAGAGGGCCCAGAGAAGTTGTGAAATCTCCATTCTTCAATGTTATTATTATTACTATTACATTTAATCAAAGGTAGACAAACACTACAGAGGGCCCAGAGAAGTTGTGAAATCTCCATTCTTCAATGCAAAACTGACATAGACAAAAACCTGAGCAGTGAGCAACCACATGTAATTGTATCTGCATTGGGCAGGATGGACTAGACTCTTCCAGGGGTCCCTTCCAATCAAAAATACTTTAACAGGTCTATGTTAAAGGCACCCTAGGTGACTGTTTAGTAATGGTGATAATATATTATTAGTTCTATTTTTAAATCCCCAGAACATTTTGTATGCAGGAAAGCTGCTAGGGACAGTCCTGCATGTACAAAAATAAATGTCTTAAATCTGTTAACTCCAATGAATCTGGTAATTTATTATGATTTCCTTGCACAGTACCATTGACCTGCTAACACAAACATATAACCCAACATTCTCCTTCAAACAAAATGTCATAGAATGACTTATGATTTCTAAAGCAGTTCTTTCTAAGCAAAACAGAACTGACATGCATAGTAGCACTTTTGAAAATGTTTTACAATGCTTGAACTTTTTGATTTTAATATTTTTGTTTAAATTTGCTTAAATGTGTTAATTTCACTAATTTTCATAAATTTAAAAATATTTTTTACTTTAAATTTTGTATTTCTTTTAAAGAGGTGCAAGTTTTCACCCTTAAAAAATACTCTGGGTTGGGGTTTCCTTTTGATTTTTTATTTTAATTCACTGAAACTGGGCAAAAGTTCCAAGACCAATGGGAGCTAGAAGAGATTTTTAGTAAGTCCCATATCCATTTCTCATGCATCTCAAAATTATTTATGACTAAACACCAAGTAGGTTGATGTTCAACTCTGAAGGAATTTGATGACTATGATTCCAGAACTTTCTTTAGTAGCTTAAAGCATTAAAACAGTATTTTAATAATGATACTAAAGAATAGCAATGATAACACTAAATGAAAATTCACATTTGCAACAAAAAGCTTTCAATATTTCTTCAAATCATTATCAAGAAATTATTTTTTTACTTACAACATTCATCTTTGAAATGTGTTCTGTTTTATTCATTTGAAAATAATTACATATTTTCTGTTAATGTTTCCTCATCTATATAACTAAAATCTCATTGTTACTGCTTTTCTTTAATGTTTTTTATTCTTTCTAAATAGCTCACAAAGCATAAGCAAAAACTTAAACATAACAAATCATTTAAGATTTAACCCATAGTAAGAGATATCATTGAAAACAATAGCCCCTCAAAAATTAACAATAACAAAAAAAAACCCACTTTATGCCTCCCACCGTTAGTAAAATATGTAGAAAAATTCTTGTGTAACGTAAAGATTTTAATATTCTCATTAAAATTCATTTCAGAACCTTTTAAACATAAATGTTAGTTCTATTAGCTCCTGTACTCTCCGTTGTTGCCCTCTGTCCACAAGGTCTTTAAGTAACAGAAACCTTTCTGTTCACTAAAACATACTATAAAAACTTTAGTTTATAACCTCACACAAACCTTTCCTTACATTACCTTTTTTGTAATGTGCTTTTTAGAGACAGAATAGAATATCTGAATGAGAAAGTATAAGCATTTGTACTAAGTGGTGGGTATTTTTCTAAAATGGAAAAATCAAGGGAGCTAACTAAATCTCTAATTCACTCCATATTTTGCCTTATACATCACATTATCTCCAGGAAGATATAAACATAGCTAAGAAATTTGTGATGAGTGAGTGTAGCAAGTACAGGCTCATCTTTTCCTCCATTATTTTGTTAGCTCTGCCGCTGCGCTAACAGAATTTATAAGCTAGGGGGAAAACGTATTTCTATCAGTCAAATAAACAGAAAAAGCTGTTTTATGAACATGATCATAAAATGATCTATAAATAACATATTCTAATGGGGCTATTTCCTTGACCACAATCTGCATTTGAAAATTACTCAAATTCTGGATTTTTATTGGGAAAAAAATGATGAGTAGGGAATTAAGTACAGCACTGATATTGTTAAATGTAAATTTCAGTACTGAATATAAAGTCTATACTGGCTAAATGAATGCCCTGACTAGACTGGTATGAGTTTTCCAGTTGCATGTGTGCAGCTGTATTGTATATGTTATTATTAGTGTAAGGAGATAGCTCTGTTTTTCTTTAAATCCAAAGATATTTCCTATTCAGAGACAAATAGTGGCAGTTGCTAAAGTCTGAAAACTGTCACATTATCTCTGCTGGAAGCATACAAAACAAAACCATCTTTACAGCAGGATATTGAAATAAAATGAGTAATTACCTCTTAATGGTAAATGAGACTTTTTCAGAGTACAGTCCTTCTGGCACAGGTTCATACATAGTCCCTACTACCTGAAAAATAATAAAAAAAAATCTACAGTTTGTTGAAGAAAAATACTCCAGTATTTATTTCAGCGTCCAGTATAGTAAGTGTTGTCCCTTGAAACTATCTCATGAGCGTTACATCCTCAGCTCTAACTTGCAGAACAACTTAATTACAACATAATTACACTCAAAAGGTTGCATGTTTCATTTACCAGCCAAATTCTTTAAGGGGAAGTACAATGAATAGATTTTTAATTTCTGCTACACTTCTTCTCACAACACTATGGTTTTATATTTTGTTCACTTGTCTTTTCCGCTCACACTGTCTTTGGACTTACTGGACACAAATGAAGCAAAGCATTTAGAACTGGTTTACAATTATGACATTTCAATAATACAGATTAGAGAACCGATAAGCATGGCACCTCATCTCGTAATTCAGATATCAGAAAGATTTGAATACAACTCCTGTTTTTAGAATGATAGTGAACATAGTTTTGCTATTAATGCAAGTAAATGAACTCAACTGATGTCATTTTCATCTTCTTAAAACTACTGTAATGCATTCCTTGTGAGGATGCAACTTGAGGATGCATTCCTTGTGAGGATGGACACTCAGCAGGCAGACAAATGATAACACAAAAAAAACATTGCAAAGATACATTTAAAGAAAATGGAAGAAGTGGTAACTTCAGCTTTGATGAAGTACAAAACAGCATTTACTTCCTTTGTTCAATTTCCTCAGTGCTTTTCAAGAACCTGGATGATAACAATTTATACTAGTAGGTGTATTCTGATGTTGGAGTTCAAGTCTTAGCAGTAAGTAAAGACCATAGCACAGAATGTGTTTGATTTTTGTTTTTCAAAAATACTTGACTTCTTTCATCTGTAAAATCAACTTGAAAACCAACTTGTTTACCTTTTTCCTTCAACTTAGAATTTAGAGCCACTTTTTCTTCACAATTATAGTACTGATAGCTTTGGTTAAATATCTTATTTTGGTGCTCAGAGGTACTGTGTAAATTCAGTTAATGATGCTAGAGGATATCCTGCTGCTATATACAAAATGCAGATTTTGAAAATATATGGGATGAGGTCTCTAGACAAAAGACAAGATCGATTATGTGAACTTAACAATAGAAAGTCAGAAGAGAGGTCACAGTGCAGGGAAGTGAGAGAGACTGACAGGTCACACTCTTCTGATAAAATTGTCAAGCAAGATTCTTGGGTCAAACCTAATAAGCAATTTTATTTTAATCTTGCTGCTGCTGTTACATAATTACAGAGTGGGTAATAAATATTGTTTTAGGACATAACAGTATTTCTGTAATCACACTGTCTGTGCCACTAATTCATTAGATGTCTTTGTGGAAATTTCCTTTTTGTGTATTAAAAGTGTCCACTAGAGCAAACATTAATACTGCAACCTATATAGATGGTGACTCAATAAGGCAAAGACTCTATCTCATTCAAGTTCTAAGAATGCTCCTAATCAGAAAAAAAAAATCTGAGTTGAATTTTAGTCTTTTGTTCTAAGGATAATTTTCATCCACAGAGAGATCAAGTTAAAAATTATTATTTTACATTATTAAATTATATTAAAATACCAAACTGAGATTATTCAAGCCAAATTTATGTAACTATGCAAAAAGCTGCCACAGAAAGAATAAGCTGAATACAACTGAGAGAGAAACAGAGGCAACCATGACCTGTTTCGGAATATCTTGATTCCGAAAGATTTTTCCAGGGAAAAATCTTGCCTGATGTCCAGAGCAAACAGCAGCCCACCAGCTGGTGACTTGGAAAAATCATACTATGATTTGGAAATCATAGAAAGAACACAGTTCTGACAGGGTTATAGTTTTAGCATGGTTTCACACAAATGCACAGTAGCTGAAAGTTAATGAAGTCATTTGTTCTGTCTATTCATGCTGAAAGATTTCTTGTTCTAAATGCTTATCTAATCCCTCTTTTTTTTATCAAAAGGACTTGTAGCAGTATAGTATTTGATCTTTTTTTCCAGAACAAATGTCTTAGTCAGAAATCTCAGATATTGAGAACATTAGGATGATCAATACCTTAAAAAATACTGTCTCCTGCTTAAGAAGTACTTTAAATTACTGAAGCAATGTTTATTTAATGTGACCATGAAAGTTTTACGGAGAATATAAATCCCCTCCTTATATGATGCTATGCTTTTGTAGCTAATTAGATCTGTAATTTAGATTTTTAAATAGGATTTTCAAATATTATTTATTTACTTTTCAAGGGATGTAGTAAAATCCATCACCATGTTCTACAGGCTTGACTCACCATCTGCTAGTTAGAAATGTGGGTGGGGTACAGTAGTTGTTGACTAGCAAAACAGTTCTGCAGTCAATTTGCATGTTTTGGATCCACAGTGGTAGGGATGCCAAGCAGAGAAAGTACCCCGCTCTTGTTCCTGTACACTGCCACCCCCAAACAGGAGGGTGGTGGGAGTACATATGGTTTGCTTAATTCAGATGACAACTGTGTATAAACTGTCACGGTCTGGTCAAGACCAGAAAGAATATATGGAACCAGCCTTACTCACAAACACTGAGAATTTAAGGCTGTAGCATTAGTATGACTTTTTTATTATTATTTGCAAAGGCAGTACTCATCCTTTAACTTTTAGCTGAAGACAACTCAATTGACTGAAGCCAGACAGCAGTTCTAAAGAAATTTTAACAAAAAGACGACTACATCATAAAATGCATTCAAAACAGAATACAGAAAGGGGGAGCCCCTAAGAAAGTATAAAGATTTTAATTTCCATTGCTCCAAGGGCTGAGCTTACTGCCACTAAACAGCAGTAGCGATGCTATTAACCACAGCTACTAGAAGTGGCAGCATTTAATTCTTGCAGCTAACATATTCAAGATAATATTTCTACTTTTCATCTAAGTTTGCAAATCACTGGTGATTTCCAACTTACATATTCAAGCTGAAAAAGCTTACTCCAGCATCATTATATTAACTGTAAGAGAGTCCTTCACTAAACAAATGTCCATAGCAAATGCAAGACTAAATTCTTTTAAATTAAAGACAGAATTATATCCACAGAATAATCATTCAAATTCTCAGCATCCTTTAACAGACAATTTTATAATTGTTTCTTAGAAAGTTCAACATACTAGCACTGCTTTTATTCTTAATAATAGAATCTTCTATGACCATGGCCTCAAAATGAGCCACTGCTTAATCCAAATAGTTGTTTTTCCTTCTGAACTCCTTTTAAATTAATTTTAATTAATTTAACTAAACTAATTAATCAGTTATTTTACATACAGAAGTGGTTTCCCATACTACACCACATTTATAATTAGGAGTTAAAAAAAAAAAACAATAATAACCAAATCTTGTCAGTACAGTGCTACTTCTAAAACATCAAACACATTAACACATTTAACCAAACAACCTCTACATGGCCTTGGAGACAGTTTTGCCATCAAGTTTTCATTTATAATTTTGCTTACTGATGTTATTTTACCATTGTTTTTTTTTGTAAGAACACTTTAAACAGAGATTTAAATAGACTGTATCTAAGTTTGCTACATTTGCACTACCACACAGCTATATGAAAGATGACTATCCTCCCTATATTAGCTCATGTCCACATTAGTTATTAGTGGACAGAAGTGCCAAAATTAAAAAAGAAGTCCTACATTTGGAGAGGGAGGAAAAGAGGAGATGAGGGAATGATGTTTTCAAAACAGCATTAATTCTCTAGAGCCTCTGAAGCTTCTAAAGAATGTTATCAATACTTTCAGGCTGACTTTACATGGGACAAAACCAGCGGAGATTTCCCAAGCTGCACAGAACTTCAAAGAGCCACTCATGACTTATCTTGGTGCAGTGTTCACTGGTGCTTCCAACAGGTGTAGGAACACACCGGCACAGGGCATCCTGCAGTAGAAGGAGCACTTTTAAATGAGACTTGGTTTCAACTGGACAGTTAGGAATTCATGAAAACAGCAGTGATCCTTCAAGACTGACTCCCAGAGAAGGTGGTGGTTACAATGAAAGGCTAAACAAAGAATCATCTGCCAGTGTTGAGGATTTTAACAATGACAGTTATTGCTTTTAGTCTTTAACATAACTTCAATTCATTACTTAAACTTCGATGAAGAATTCCAGTAGTAGGTATTAGCTATACAAATACTCATGCGTAGAAACCATAACTGTTTCAGGAAACAATCCAAGCTGAAAATAGCTGCAAAGTAGCAAGAATCCAATATGCTTATCCCATACATCCTTACTTAAGGATAGTGATTTTTTTCCCACTGTTGGAGACAGGACAGTAGGAGAGATAGTAGACAAGCTTGCCATACATTGATTAATGGGGTTTTTTTTGTTCCTTTGGTCCCAAATGCTAAGAGTCTCTGCAGCTTCTATTAACTTCAGGTAAGTCGATATCTTTGTTAAACTACCTATATAATAACACTCGCTTGCAATGGATAGCCTTACTACTTGCTGGCAGGACTTAACAAAGCAAAGCAGAGAAAAGAATTTTCACAATCTTTGTACCTATGACTGCCATAATTCACTATAAAAATGAAACCTGCTGTTCCCTGGCCCAAATAAAGAGGGATTTATCCAGTAGCATCTTGCAAGTCACCAGAGGTAAAAGCCACGCAACCTCTCATTTCCATATTTGACTGTTAGAATGAAGGAAAAAAATCTATATACATAAGTTAGAATATCTTCCTTTTCAATTCATGTCTATTTTTTCAGAAAAGCTCTGTAGTGAGGATGTGTTACACAGGGAAAGGCGAGCAGAAGATTACGCGATGTCACGGAAAGCTGCACCTGCAAGACTCCCTTCTCCCTTAATCTCCTGAGATAAGCGAAGACTGCAACCTCCCTAACTCTGGTAGCGTTTCTCTCCTTACTAACCGTAAAACAGTATAAGCCGACCCCCTTTGACATAGAGTAGCACCCTAGAGTATATAACCCCATGAGATGAGACAATAAACGCCTTTTGACCGTCCACCATATTGGTG